TCTTGCTTACAGGTACCAGGTAGTTTGTAGGAGAGTATCCTCCGTCACCCAAGACATACTCGTTTCCAACACAATATTTTGACGGGTTTTTTCCCATATCACTTTCGGCAAGTACACGCATATCATGGGAACTTCCAAAGTAACCAGTCTCTACGTACCGGATTCTTCTTTTATGGTCACAAATTGCCATTGTCTGAATGGAGTGACTACCCTTTCTGTTGTAGAATTCGTTTTCTCTCCAAACAGGTGCATCCTCCAAACAAATATGTGTACCATCGATAAACCCAAGACAGTCAGGGAAACCCAGATAAGATTGGTTAATGGTTTTGATAACCACTTTTTCTTCAGGTGATGGCCAACTGACAAACTGATCTTCCATTGACAGAATCACCTTAAAAAAACGAGTAGTAAAAGCTACAACTGCGCCCTCTATTGGCAAAAGAATACATTTTAATTTATTACTGCATACCAATTTATTTCACTGCAATAATGACTACATACCACTGACACCAGATCGTCTAGCAATTTTTTCAATTGAAGAACCGTTTCCATATGTTCCCAAACGTTCTAAAACGATAGCCAATTGAAGGCGGATATCTGTTTGGCGATTTCGGGGTGTATCCTGATACAATGGATGGTCCTGGATCAGTTTCAAAAGCGCAAAGAATGAGTCTTTGTCCATTCTGACTTCGTTAACAAATCCACTGTCGTCAATTTCGTTGAACAGGAAATCCAATCCTTCTTTCTTTGGTCACCAACTTTGGAACTTTGTTTTCTCTACTAGCTACATATCTCTTGGATCTAATATATTCCAGCATTTGTTTGTCCACATCATTTTTCAAATTTTGGCGATAAAAAGCAATTAAATCATTAATATCTTCCTTCTCAGCATCATCAAGAGCAGGATTCTTTGCAAATTCTTTCCATAATGCGATTTGTTTTCTGGTGAGTTCTTTTTTCATACGATAGCTATTCTTGTAAGCGTTGTATTCTCTTTGCTTGGTACTTTGACGAGGCATAATTAATGTTATTTTTTTTAAAAGAAAAAGAGTTGAAAGTAGTGAAAAAGAAACTTAATAATGCATTTTTCTCATGATTTTTTATTGTTTGACATTACCTCAATTTCAGTTACACTGGAATTTTTACGTCATTATGACGTAATTTTTTATTTTTTTATTATTTTTTTATTATTTTTTTTGAATGAACAAGAAAAAAGTTGCTCGTTCGAATAAAAAATTCAAAAAATTCTGATTGGCTAATTTTTATTCAAAAAATATTATTTTTTAAAACTTCGACGACTGAGGACCCCTACTATCTAATTTGATTAATGTTTCATATGTGCGTAATTGTTTTCATGCTAAAATAGTTTATAGCTTTGCTTGTTTGTTCTTATGACATATAGTTTTGTTTTCTTGTTTGGTCTTGCCTTCGTGACCTTTGGCTTAAACCTTCGTTTGGGTCTTGTGAGTTCCATTGCGTCATAATAGTTCTCGGTACCGGTCTCTTGTACCGGAACTATTTTATTGGCTGGATTGGTTCTGACAAGATAGTTTTATCGCGCGTTAAATATCGACCTTCTTATATACTTTTTTTCGACTAAGCCACCCGTTAAAATCAGCGATAAAATCAATTTGACCAGAAAAGGAACTAATTAAAAAACAAGTCGGGCAGTAGATATCACCTGCACAAGCAAAGCATGTCACACGACCCTACGCCCAACGATCAGGAGGTCACGATAGGTATCCCCTATTTATCGCCTACCTTAAATGAAACAACAACAGTTACTAGAAACATCAGAAAAAATAATAAGACCCAACAAAAAAATACGAAAACAAATGAAAAAGAACAAAAAAATGAAGCAGGAAACAATACATCATCGACCGCGCTAGGCATAATGGATATAGAACAAGATAACAAAAAACCAAACAGCGATGCAACAGGAAAAAAAAGGAGTGCACCGATCTCCCCTGGTATAGGAACAAATGAAGCATTGGAAACAATGGACTTAACAAACAAAGAGCATCTAAACGAACAACAAATTGAATTCATCATCAATTTCAATAAACATCAGAAACAAATTGAATGCAACAAATGTAAAGGGGCATGGATAAACATAAACCGAATTGATTACATTGAAATTGGAGAAGAAGGATATGCAGAAATAGTACTATCCTGCAAAAAATGCACAAAAAAATACACAATGAACGAGGCACAGGAGTTGACACTAAAAGTAACAAAAGAAAAAAAAAGACAGATAGATGATACAAGAACAACAGCGAAGGACAAAAAAAAAGGAGGGGAACTAAAATTCACAGCAGATTTAGAAGCCATTATGGAACAGTATGAATTAGCTAGAGAAAAAATAGCATGCAACAAATGTGGAACAATTGGAACTATACAAAAAAATGGAAGAAACCAAGGAAAAACACCAAAGCCACAATACAAAAGCAAAAACTGCGAAAAAGGAACAACGTTTGCCGAGATGAAAACTATTTTAAAATATGAAACAACAATAACAAACGAGGAACAGATGGAAATAGATACAGAAGATAAAAGTGAATTTGAAGATGACAACGAAACTGATGTTTCAGATATCACAGACACAGAGATGGAAGAAGAGGATGAATCAACAGGAGAAATAAATGTCTGGAACGAAATGAAGCTGTTAAAGAAAAGATTAGAAAAAACAGAAAAAGAAACAAAAAAAATGCAGGAGCTGATTAGGGAGAACATCAACCTGAAAAAAGAAAATATTGAACTAAAAAAGAAACTGCGAGAAATCGAAGAAGAAAATGAGACAGAAGAGTACAATGAAACAAATAATAACAACAACAACTATCAAGCAGAAAACATAAACCAAAGTAACAATCAGAACAGTAACATGAACTCACAAAACGAGTTCCCATATTTAAAAGCAACAAAAAGCAATATAGCACAACAACAAAACAACAACAACAACAATTGGACCAAAAGAAAAAAAAATCAATTTTTTGGACAAAACAACCCAACCAAAAAACAATTGGAAATAGCAACAAGAACATTCGAAGAAAAAAAGGATGAGAACAACTTTATAAACATACATATACCATGCAAAAGACGAATGAAACGATCCGAAATTAGAAAAAAAATTAGCCTTCGTAGGAATCGACAATATTCAAGTACTTGATACATACTGTCCAGATTGGGATACAGTACTACTATTAATACACGAAAAATATAAAGACACAGCAGAAAAGAAATTAGAACAGGCGGGCATATTCACAAAGGAATATACAGTGCGCGCCAAAAGTGTCCCAATGTTTTAAATTTTTGGCTTTTCATAAAGACATCACACAAACTAATGATTGTTTTGGCCTCAAAATTACATCATAAGTACTTTCACATGTCAGCTGTAACATCCAAAAATATAAAAATTGTTAGCTCTACTTGGAAATGATTTACAGCGACTGAAACATAATTACATCATTGAGACACTTTTGGTGCGATTTATTTTTTGTTTGTTTTTTGCTTCCTACGCCATAAAACCGAATAAGAATTTTTTCTAAAGAACTATATAAATAGCTTAGCTGTTCAGTAACCCCTAACAGTATCTTTTTTAAAAAATTTTTTGTAAAATTATTTTTCGATATAAACATGCGACAGATTTCAGAATCCAAGAGAAACAATGTAGTACAATGCTTGTCTAATGGTTTCAGTGCCCGTGAGACTGCTTCTAAAACTGGAGTCAGCAAAAGTACTATCAACAGAATTAGTCAGGTTACACTGGGTCTTAAGAGCAAGCCGCGTATTGGTCTTTCCCCCAAAGTCACCAGCACAAACATAGACTATATCGTTCAGCTAGTGATCAAAAGCGGAGTTGAATCGGCTTCCAAGGTGTCTCGAATACTTTCAAATGACTTAGGAGTCTCATTAAGTGCAGCGAGCATTCGACGTTTACTTAAATCACGGGGTATTGTCCCATTAATTAAGCCGAAGAAACCATTGCTAAGAAAAAAAAATATCGCTGACCGAGTAGCCTTTGCCAAAAGTCATATTGCGTGGACAGAAACCGATTGGAAACACGTGGTTTGGTCAGATGAGACCAAAATAAATCTTTTTGGGTCCGATGGGATTCATTGGTGCTACAAAAGAAAGGATACGCAGCTTAAACCGCAACACGTGCAACAAACTGTAAAACATGGCGGTGGAAGTGTAATGGTTTGGAGCTGTATCACATGGTCAGGTGTTGGATTTTTAGTCTTTATCGACGGTAATATGGACAAGCAACTATACAAAACTATTCTGCAAGAGGATCTTCTCAGAACATTAGAGGATTATCATTTAAATCAAAAAGATGTTGTATTTGTTCACGATAACGATCCGAAGCACAAGTCTATGTTAGTCACCAACTGGCTTAAAAATCAAGAATTTGAAACCATGGTATGGCCGGCACAATCTCCGGATCTAAACCCAATTGAGAATGTCTGGTCATTACTAAAACGACGCCTTTATAGTAACTATGATAAGCCGCCTACCTCAATAAAAGAGCTGAAGGAAAGAATTACTGAAACATGGTATGCAATCACACCTGAAGAAGTTAGACCTTATTTGTTAAGCGTAAAAAAACGTTGTCAAGACGTTATAAGGGCCAAAGGTTATTGGATCAATCATTGAGTTAAATTAAGGACACATATAAATAAAAATTTCAATCGCACCAAAAGTGTCCCAATTAAATTTTTGACTTGGGCGAATTTTGTAATTTTATTTTTATTACAAACGGAGTTTTAAATTTTTACATAACGCTACCAAAGGGTTGATAAGTATATAATTAAAATTCTAGCCAAAAATAGTAGAAACTGATCGACTGATTAAAGCATCTTTGAAAAATATTAAAACATTGAGACACTTTTGGCGCGCACTGTAACTACCTACATATTTCACATTTAAGAGACAGCAAATTAGCAGGACTATCGACAGAAGAAAAAGTAGCAAAACTGCAGCAAATTAGGAACAACTGTTCAATGAGAGCATTAGAATTTATTAGAGAACCGGTAAAAAAATCAGTAGCAAGATGCTTTTACCGCCAAAACATTATTACCGAAGACCAACTGAAAAAAATATTGACAGGAAGAAATATGAACGAAGCAATGGGCATTTTTCAGGAACCAGCAACAGAAGAACAACCAATCGGAGGTAATCCGGAAGGATCTCAAAAAACACCAGCAACAAATTAAAATTGATTATTCAATCAGCGAAATTAAACCCTGAAGATCACCTGTCAAAATAACAACAAATTCATGCAACATTTTCCCTTTCCCATTTTTAACTTTTTTTCTTTCATCACATATGAAGTTTTTTAGATACACCTTTACTTTATTTTATTTTTTTACTATATTTTCATTATTTAAAACGAAACATAAGAGGGAGTAACTAGTACTCATCATCCTCACCAATAAACACTTAAGTTATACTATCGAAGAGGAGATAAGATTTGTAAGCCTGTAAATGTTGATGGATCTAATGCCTCAAAGAATCACGTGACTAGCCGGGTTAGTCCAACCCGAAGTCCGGACCTTGTTGTCGACCTGCCTCTAGAAATTGAGCTTAGGCTCAAGAAGACCAAGAACCAGAAAAGATGATTTGTACCACTCAAGAATAATCATACGAATCGGAAAAGGTCAAAGCGGAATAACACCACTTTATTATATACAACATAACACCACTTCGGTTTCACCTATTTCATATCAATAACCTGTTTATATTATTCATCATCATTATCATTATCATCGTCATCATCATATTTATTATTATATTTATCACATCACATATATCTTCATATTTAGTATATATATCCCTTAACATTAGAACAACAATCGATTATCTTCTATTTTAGTATTAAATACTTAATTACCTATTTCCCTTCTAATTAACCACTGAGAGTTGAATTAGAATTATATTGAAACTTACGTAATTGACAAACCCACAATTGTCGATGGTTCGGATGCTTCTCTAAGCCACATTCTGACCCGGACTCTTGCACCCGAACCGGACTCTACCATGGATGTTGAAATGCCTCTGGAGATGGAATTACGATTAAAGAAAGCTAAACTTCTAAAAAGGAAGTTTGTACCCAAGATAACCAATGCCAATCGTAAACGGCCAAAGAAGTAACACCACTTTATTATAAATATCACAACACTACTTCTACATTCAATAACCTGATTACTTATATTTATCACAATCAATCTTTATATCTATCACCATACTTTTATTATATTATCACCATACATATCAACATTACATTATCACCATATTCATTATTATCACATTATTATCACATTATTATCACATTCTATATATTCCCCAAACTAGTATAAATAGCTCCTAGCTTTGTATCAAATGAAAATTATCTTCTATTTTATAATTTCAAGTACTTGCCTACTTACTTACTGACTAACCACTGAGAGTTGAATCTTACATACACTACTTAACCTATTACAAGACTGATATAATTTGTAATCCTCAGATGTCTGATGGACCCTTACGTAATAACCTAGCACACTCGTACTTTAGTATTGAACCTGGATCATAACTGGATCCATCATTTACCAATATACCCGGATGGCAGTATAATTGTTTTTTTTTTTTTTTTTTTTTTTTTTGGCAAAGTGAGTTCGTATACTTAAAAACGGCGTTTCGGTTTGAGTTACAATTTTGTGTTTGTTAGAAAACGCATATGCACTTGTATCTGAATGGTGATAACTGTACGGTTAAGCTATAAATGCTTATTTTACTTACAGTTACATTCGTCATTTGTTTTGCTTAATAATTCACTGGAGGCATGTGTTACTATCACTGTATGGTTAAGCTATGTAAATAGTGTTTGCTCAAGACGTTCTGTAGGATAGCACTTGCTTTTAATCTTTTTGAAATGAAGATGCAGTGTCCATTTCAGTATAACTCTGACGAGAGTAGGATATCATTTATGGAAATAACCGTTTATAACACGCCTAAAAAGTAAGCATAAAATAATCCAGATTAACACTCATAACGAGCCTAAAAAATGAGCATAATATAATCCAGATTGACGCTTAAACACATATTTTGTATTTCTGGTCAGGATTCGTTGTGTGGCTGAAAGATTTTTAATTCATTGGAACATTCAAGTCGTATTTATCAATGTCGTTAGGAGAGAGACAAGGTGACGTAGCTAAACTAAGAAAAAAAAAGAGCTGGAACTGGCCTCGTTCCCCATGTCTTAAACGCCTTGGAATTGTCATTGAACATAAAAACGTATGATACCAGACAATCTGCGCTGTTTCTCAAGAGATACAAAGAATTACGTGCCTCAATTCCATTAAACAGCTCAAATAGATTAAAAATTAAAGGTAGAAAAGGAACGAAAGAAAAAAAGTGAATTAAAAATCCAAGAGGAAAACAAAAAAGAGAAATTGAAATTAGACAAGAAGAAAAAACAGATAAAAAAATAGAGGAAAAAAAAAGAGGAAAAAAAGAGATATAAAAAAAAAAGAGATGAAAAAAAAAGAGATGAAAAAAAAAGAGATGACAAAAAAAGAGATGAAAAAAAAAGAGAAAAAAAAAGAGAAAAAAAAAAAGAGAAAAAAAACCAGATAAAAAAAGGCTAATTATACGCGCACCATACTTTTTGCTTGAAAAAAAAATTTCGCACACCATACTTTTCTGTGCCGGTCAAATAATAAATTCCGGGTCGGACCAAAAATAATTTTTGCACATAGAATTTTTTTCTAGCGCTGGCGGACCATACTTTTTTTTTGGCTGGTGGACCATACTTTGTTCGCTGGCGCACCATACTTTTTCGCTGGCGCACCACACTTTTTCGCGCACCACACTTTTTTTTACTTCATTCTTTTTCTTTTAAACTTTTATTTTTGAAATGAATTGAAACGATTCACAACAATCTTTGAGCGAAAGCCAATTGTTAATTAACAGTCTTTTATCTGTAATCAACCCTGCCGACGAACCCAAAGACAGTTTCGAGGAGACCTTTGACAGACAAAACGCTGAGCAAGCTATTGCCGAGGAAACAACGACTGATGACTACGACTGGGATTGTCTTAGTGAGCCTGAGGAGAAAGACGTTACTGTCGAGGCCACACGACATGTCTCTTCTTTTGCCGAGACTGTTTCCATCAATGAACGAGTCATCGAATTGAAGGCTGCCTTCGAAGCCGAGTTTCCCGTGGGAAAAACCTTTGTCGACAAATACACTGCAAGACTGGAAATACAGTCTTTCAGTAAAGCAAACGACATCCCCTTTGAGACTTGTAAAAGCGACAAATCATACATCAAGATGATTTGCAAACATTTTGGCAAATATCGTGCCGCAAAGAAGGGCGAAGGTAATATAAATTAAAATCTGCGATAAGGTCGTATAAAATAATTCGATAAATTAATTGCAAAACTAGATGAAGAGGGTATTGGAACTGGTGAGGGATTAGAGAGTGTTGCGCAGCGTCCCAAACGAACAACTGGAAGAACAGGGTGCTCGCCATTTGTATACGTTCGTAAGGATGCAAGAGCTGTCGGACAGCTATGGACAATCCGAACCAGCTGTTTTGAGCATAATCATCCCTTGAGTGAGGATAGAAGAGCTTATCACAACAATCGCAAGCTCAATGCAGAAGACCAGGAGCTTGCAATCAGTCTTATGCGTGCAGAAAGAACGCCCAGTGAAGCATTGAAAGTAAGGTTGAAAATTGATATATAGAAGGCGTTTGAGAAATCAATAGTTAGTGAAGTTGTTGTCATAATAAATAAAATTATTTTAACATATCTATGCCTCTTTGTATTTTGGCTTATAATAATAATTTTTCTTGGTGACTAGATGCTTGAAACAAGAGGTGTGAATAACCTCGTTGTAACGGATTTGACAAATATTCAACAGCAATTTTGTCGAGATAACCACACCAACATGTGGAATCTCATCAAAAATCTTGAATCCAGTGGTCATCAAGTCCGCTACATGTTAAATGCCGACGAAATGATTTGTTGTGTATTTTTCATACATCAACATGGCATTGATGAGGCTCGAAAGCTTTCCAAGTATATTCTTATTGACGCCACCTACAAGACCAATTCACACAAAATGGTCTTGTTGAATTTTGTTGTTGCAGGTACTTTGCGATCAAAAGAGAAACCCAAGCAATTGGTAACAGTGCCTATTGCGGGATGCTGGATGGATCGCGAGACAGGTGACCGCTACCGTTGGTCTATGAACTGCTTTCGTGAGATTGTTTGGCCCGTCGGTGAAAGCACCGGTAACTTACCAAAATGCTTTGTGACCGATAACGACGAAGCTTTGTTGGGAGCAATTAAGGCTGTTTTCCCTGAGACTAACCGAATCTAGTGCTGGATTCATATCCAAAGATATTTCATTTTAAGATTTAAAAAAAAAATTGTCGAAAGAGAAAAGACAGGACAGTATGTTAACAGTTAAAAGACGGTAAGAAATCCTTCTAACTTAACTTATTGTTATAACGTGCCACCAAGCTTAAACCTGATAAATTTTTTGCACTTTTTTAAATCCATTTTTATACCCCAAAAAAGCATTTTTCTACAGATCGCTGACAGAAGAACAATTGTAACAATGTTTTTAAACAATAATATAAAAACAGTTAACATTTTTAGTTATCAAAAACTTTTACTGATAACCATCAAACATTATCGGTGTTGAAATATTTAAGCGGGGGAGTATGGGGGAGGCCCATTATTTGAAACAAACAAAAAGATCATCAGGTACATTTTAACGCCCGACAATCATTTCAGCCAATAAAACAGCAGGAAATGGCTAAAACTGTAACTTTTTTCTAAAAAGCTATCAACTTCATCAGTTTTAATTTTGATAACTTCGCAATAGCTTTAAGCTTTAGATGGAATGTTGGCAACCATTTCTTCTGTAAAGAATTTTTAATTTATTTACAAAAAAGTCTATTTACCATCAGAATTGTTAGGGCGCTCATAAATTTCTGTGGGATGCTAAATAGAGTTTCGACAGTTGGAGGGCGTACCGAATGTGTATCCTATTGATGCTATCAAATTTATCAATACAACTTTTTTTTTCTGTTTTTACTACAAATTACAATAATACAAGTATTAAAGAGTAGTTCTTCAGTCATGGATCTTCAATTTATTTATAAAAATGTCTGTTTATTATCAGTCAGTAGTGCGCTTATATATTTCTGTGGGGGTCCAATGAAGTTCCGACATTCGGAGGCTTACCCAATGTCGATCCTATAGAAGCTATCAACTCTATCAATACAACTTATTTTTCTGTTTTTATTTCAGATTAGAATAATAAAAGTATTAAAGAGTAGTTCTTCCGTCATCGATTTTGAATTTATTTATAAAAATGTCTGTTTATTATCAGTCATTAGTGCGCTTATAAATTTCTGTGGGGGCCAATGGAGTTCCGACATTCAGAGGCTTACCCAATGTTGATTCTATTGAAGCTATCAACTCTATCAATACAACTTTTTTTTCTGTTTTTATTTCAGATTAGAATAATAAAAGTATTAAAGAGTAGTTCTTCTGTCATCGATTTTAAATTTATTTTGTAAAAATGTCTATTTATTATCAGAGTTGTTAGGGCGCCTATAAA